AAGTCCCCGTCCTCACTTCCGCTCTCGTCCCCGCTGCTCTTCACATCCGCCGCCACAGCAGAAGGCGCGGCGGCACGCGGCATCTCGATGCCCTGCATGACGAGCCGCAGCATCTTCTCGCGGTGCTCCTCCAGTGCCTTCGTCTTCGCCTCCTTGAACGCCGCCTTGCGCTCCTCTTGCCGCGAACGGCTCTGGATAGCGCTTTCCGGCAGGATGCGGAGGTGGGGCGCAAGCAGCTCGATCTCCGTCTCCGCATGACTGCCCAGAATTAGCCGCTCGCGCGGGAAGTGCACTGTGCGCTGGCTCTTCGCTGCGCCCATGACGCTTGACAGGCGTTCCTGGAACAACTCCTGCAGGGTGGTGTCGGCGCAGACATAGCCCCACGTGAGAACGCACCGCCCTGACGACGATGACGACGACTTGAGAGATTTGCTCAGCCGCTGCAGCTCGCGGAGAAGCACATCGATGTCAGCGTTGGTGTCAATGATAACTTCCACCATGGCGTCTCAGATGTGATTGTGTCGTTTAATGCTTCTACACCTGCCCTTTCTGTTTCTCCTTGGCTTCTTCTCCTTTCCCTTCCACATCCTCATGCCGATGCACAACACCCGCAGCAGGAAAATCCAAACAAATAGCGAAAGACAAGTAAGAATAACTGAAGTTTCAAATCCGCACATCTGCGTGATGTTTGTTGTTGTTTCTCGTTGTATGGCTTCCAGAGTGATATTGAGATGCAACTGAAACCATGGGACATACAAGATCCGGGAGAAGCGCCCATGCCACCTGAATAATATATATATATATATATTGCATGGGCAAAGCACATACACACACACACAGAGAGAGAGAGACTCGGGTAGCGAGAAAATACACAACGCAATACCCCCCGATACAGTAACTACAGGAGTTCATATTACCCCAGCTTCCCGCAACTCTATCATAGCTTCTTGTATTCTACCGCAGCGCAGCAGTTCCTGTGCTTTTTTCTTCACCCGTTTTTCGCGCCTTCGCTGTTGCTGCATTGCGGTGTGCGTTTGATGCGCCACGACGCAAACCTCACGCCACTTATACGGCTCGTTACACCACCAGCAGAGGTGATGTGAGCTTCTAACAGAAGTGGCGGCCAGGCTGCTCGTCGTCACCATTGAGCCAGCGCTGCTGAGCGTTAAATTCGTCGCCGCCGCGGATTCCACCGCCGGGGAGTAGAGGCGTCGGCCCGACGGCATCGGCAACACATGGGTTGGGTGCTGCGGCTGAGGAGAGGAGGTGCTTCGTTGCCAGCTACCACTGCTCCCAGCACGGCTCTCTTTAATAGCACCATCATCATCATCATCGCCATCGTCGTCTACAGGTGGGGGGGGCAGCAGCCCGCTCCGACGGCTCGCCACCTTCCTCTGTGACGAAGCGTCATGTGCGCTTACAGAAGACTCTTCCGTGCCGTGTGAGGTGGTGGGCGGCAGGTCACTAAGGAGTTGTTCCTTCTGATGCTTCTTTTGCTGCTCGCCCTGTTGAGTAGTTATGTGCACCTCAGGGATTTCCTTCCGCATTGTGCGAGGTGTTTCCACCAGGCCCTCACACGACGTCAACCTCGGTGAAGGCAGTGGCAGCACAAGCCACGGATCCACACACTTCGCCAGGACGCCAACTATTTCTCCAGAGTCACTTTTCGCAGCGATAGAAACGGGCAGCGACACATTTGTCTCACTCCTCTCATCACATTTCGAAGTGCCAATAGGGCCCGACTCACAAGCCTTTCTCTTCGAATTGTCGAAGGTGTCCCTGTTAGAGGCGTCGTCAGCTGCTGGCTGCTCCCTGGACAGCGTGGAGGGAGGAGCAGCTGCCGCAAATGCATGCGGTGCCCCAGATGGAAAACTGTTGCTGGTCCCTTCCTGCAGTGGCGCATCGGTTGCTGGTGGGGGGTTGATGGGGGAACAGCAGCGACGCTCGTCATCCATAGAAGTTATTTGTGATGGCATCTCGTATTCCACCCCAGTGTCCTTTTCCACAACACCCCCCACAGCACCGATGCCCATGTACTGAGACATTTCTGTTGCAGTGTGGAGAGACAAGTCATCATTGGCATCGTCGGGTACTGCCAGGCCAGCCCGCTTGGATGTGGAGACCGAGAGAGCATTCGGCGTCGGGACCTCATCGGCATCCCCCTCAACCTCAACACGTTCTGATTCCACGTGTGGTTGCGGCGGGCGCCGTTGCTTCTCTACGTATGAAGGAAGAATAGCATCTTGTGTATTCTTCTCCACGTTTCCAAAACGATCCCGTGCGGAAATTTCGGCGCTCACAAGATAAGCCTCTTGAGAGATGTATTTTTCCTGAAATTGTTGATGTTGCTGCTGTCGTACTCTTTCATCACCAGCAGATGATGTGGCACCAGTGACGAGGGCCGGAACCAAATGTAGTGGCAGTAAGCGACCAGTCACACCGTTGGCCACCCTCGCTGCTGCAGCACCTGTGTCCTCACACGCCTTGACGTCATTGCTGCACGACGCAAGCGCTCCCTTGGTGCCCTCACCAGTACCGCGTACCGGAGAATGCGGAAGGCGCGAAGGGCCGCAAGAAGTGGCCTTTGCCGGGGACGAACCGAAGGATAAATTCACCGATGAGGGGCATAGGTAAGCAGAGTCATCCTTCATTGAATTCTCTAATGAAGGACAAACTTCCGAGCGTTCCATGAAGTTCTCGGTCGTCGTTGTAGATGTGTAATCGTCGTCTGCTGTGGATGATTCATCCGCCCTGAAGTGTGTGGCGTCCGCCACTGCTGCTGCTGCTGCTGATGTTGTTGCTGCTGCTGCTGCTGTCGCAGAGTACCTCCTGCTCGTGAAAGCATCCTCAGCTTGTGGGCGTTCAAGCCATTCCTTTATGCTGAGCGTGGTCGTTTCCCTTGGGTTGGTCGCCGCTAAATTTCCAGCATTCACCACCCGCTTTGTCGTTGCTCGAAGCAAGCCAAGCCGCATTGCATTCGTCTGCGGCTGTGACAGTGCTGGTGCTGTTGGTGCCCTTACCTTAGTACTGCGCACCGAAGGAATAGAAAGTGCGTCGTCCTGCTCAAAGGTTGGAGTCTCGCCGGTGTTATGCGCCGAAACCATGTGAAGAGCATCATCCCTTTGCGCCGAGGGGCCGTCCTGCGTCCCTGCGCGCGTCACGCCACTACGCCTGCAGTTGTTCCCGCCGCCGCGCCCCCTGCCGTGGCCCCTCTCTCCGCCTTGGGTGTGAGCCACAGCACTATTGGCACCACCCTTGGCGCATGCTGTTCCCATCGTCCGTCTTCAAGGGTACAAGGTCGCCCTTCAACGCATCTAAGAGAGGTGCAGTA